ACATCTGGGTCTGACGTGTAAAGAATCCAAGGCTTTCACAGCACTGGTTGACCTCAGGTTACAGCGCAGGAGGTGGCGCATTCTTGCGATGACGCCGATCGGCGAATTGTCTCACCGAGACCGAGCCAATCGTATAAGCCCACCGTCACGGGATGTGGTCACGGGCTCGCCCGCAGTTACTAAATATCACGGGGTGATTGATCTTCAATGTGATCGACCAATTGAACGGGTAGGCAGCGTGGTTGTTGTGATTTTACATTAAGGGGTAAGATTTCCCCACAGAATGCCCGCTCAATTTATCCTTATTTTAGTCTGATGAACCAGTTCTCCAATCAATTGATGATGTAATCGATTGATATGCTTGGCTGACTGGGCACTGTCTACGAGAAGTTTTACGATAGCTACGTCCAAGAATGACTTCTGCACATTGCACTCAATACTCAATATGTAGAGTTGATTTTCTATGGTATTTACAAATTGGAACCAAACAGCTATTGAAAATCTTCCCAGCGATCTGAAGCTCACGACTTTTGGAGGTGAACACGGACTGTCTTCACCTCCGTGTAGTTCTCCAGGGCGTATGATCCCAGCTCTCTGCCGATACCTGACTCCTTGAAACCACCGAATGGCATTTGGTAGTGAAGGGTGTTGTAGTTGTTAACCCAGACGGTTCTATTGCAAGATATGTTAGCAAATTCATGAAGCTCAAAGACTAGCTTTGCTTTTCAATTAACTCACCCAGCCTTGACAGCGTTGGACACTCTGATGGCAGTGTTAATGTTTGTGGTGTGGACAGCTGCGGCCAAGCCTATTTTTATCCGTTAGTCAGATCATGGAAGTCAAATGGAATGTGACATCTCGGAGTGCTTACCGTAGTTTGTGGAATTGGCCACTCTGATAGCCTCCTCCTCGGTGGAGAATTTCTGCACCGTGCACACGGGTCCAAAGATCTCTTCTTTGACAATCGTCATGTTCTCGTCGACATCAGCAAAGATTGTGGGTTGAATGTAGTATCCTTCGCTGCCATGACGATCGCCACCAGTGACAACAGTGGCGCCAGCACCCTTTCCATCCTTAATATAACCCATGATCCGGTCGTATTGGAGCTGCGAGACTTGCGGTCCCTGGAAGGTCTCGGAATGGAACGGATCTCCGACCTTGTTCTGCTCTGTTCGCTTCTTGAAAAGCTCTAGGAACTTGTGATAAATGTCTTCGTGAACAAGAATGCGAGAGCCTGCACAACAGCACTGTCCATGGTTGAAGAAGATACCCAGATTGACCCATTCGATTGCATCCTCCAAGTTCGCATCTGGGAGAATGATGTTCGGCGACTTGCCGCCGAGCTCGAGAGTGACTTTCTTCAAGTTACTATCGGCTGCTGCCTTCATGATGTGACGTCCGACCAGAGTCGATCCAGTGAAAGCAACCTTGTCAATATCCATGTGAGAGGCGATTGCTGCACCAGCAGTTCTTCCAAATCCTGAAATAACATTGACCACTCCAGGGGGGAATCCGGCTTCCTTGATAAGCTTCGCGACATAGAGCGCTGAAAGGGGAGTTTGCTCCGCTGTCTTGATAACAATTGTATTTCCGGTGGCCAGAGCAGGGCCAATCTTCCAAGCGAACATCAAGAGCGGGAAGTTCCATGGAATGATTTGGCCACAGACACCCACTGGCTCGTGGCGCGTGTAGGTCAAGCTGTTGCTATCAGTGTCGATTGTTTGGCCGTAAATCTTATCGGACCAGCCACCATAGTACCGCAGGCACCCAGCAGAGTTATTTACATCCCCTTTGGCCATTGTCATTGACTTGCCGTTATCAAGTGCTTCAATAGCGGCCAATGTCTCGATGTCGCGTTCTAGGAAGTCTGCAAGACGAAGAAGGAGACGACCACGTTCAGACGACGTGATTGTTTTCCACTCTCCGTCCAGTGCGGCGCGAGCAGCTTTCACGGCAATATTGACATCTTCCTCTGCGCCTTCGTGCACGGCGACAATAGGCTTCTCGTTGTGAGGGTTGATTGTCTCGAAGGTTCTGCCGTCCACACCCTTGATAAATTCATTGTTGATGAATCTTATGGTTTTGTCAGATTCTTGCCCAGGATCATTAAGGTTTGTTGAACTTACAGTCCCAAAGGTTGCTCATATGTGAGCACGGGGGTCTTAATCGATTGGAAAAGTGCCATGATTGAAAAGATGAGTCGGTCGGTGGTATAGATTGAACAGTATGTGAGATGTGGGATGTGTGTGAGAATTGTGAAGAACCATGGGCACCCTTATATAGCTGCTGGAAAGGACCCGGGTGGCGAAAATGATCGGGGTGGGGGAGCGCGGGGAAAGCACTGCAATCGATAAAGGCCGGTCCGATGTTTTTCGCTAATTGTGGGGTAGCAAACCCCCTGCCTCCCTTTTTGGCTGTGATTGGCACTTCCTTTCGTCCGGACCGCTATTATTCGTCGGGTGTTGGAAGCGGGAAATGAAGCAACCCCGTCTTTTGGTCCTGTGATGAAGCTCTCGGTGTGGAATACTGCGGTCCCGAAATGATCATTTTTTGGTAAGATCAATTATTTCCAGCTATTCCCACCTAGACAATAACACAAGTTTAACATCTTATTTGAGTAGACGGTGCATTTGCATTTATTACTGGTATCATGCTACTATATCAAATAAATTTTCAATTTAGGGGGCTCGTACAAAGTGTAAATTGGTCGTCTATCACTGATAGTCATTCATGCAACACAAGGCAGGTACTCTATTTTGTCCGCAACCGCTCGGTCCACGGCTGGGGCGTCACCGTTCGGTAATAAACTTGATAATAAGCTCGTGGTTCCCGAGGTTGTGTGGAGACTAGTCAAATGCAAGACATAGCTCTAGAAGCCAAACCCAACATCAGCGAATAATATGACAAGTGTATCAACCGTTGAACGTCATTCAAATTCAGTATCTCAATTTATAAATCCCAGAAATCCACACCTAAGTCTCCACTCCTATATACAGCATACTCCTAGTCCATAATCTGTGCCTAGAGCACGATTAACCAATCATTATTTACTCCGGCATCTCAAGCACATAGCGGCCGGCGATCTTGCCTTGTTCTGTTTCGAGTTAGCTTCAAGTCCATACAAATAACAGTGTGTGACAGTGTGTGACATACCCATAAGCTCGAAGATCTTGGGGAGATCCTTCAGAGGCGCCAGCTTGAATGGAGCCTTAATCAAGCCTCGGGCGAAGAAGTCGAGAGCTTCAACACCATCTTGTTGATTTCCAACGTAGCTTCCCTTAATAGTGATCATACGAACGACAGTACTAATCACTGGGGCCTTGAGGAATGCATCTGGGGGCAATCCGATCGCAACAATTGTGCCTCGGGAGCGAACGTATTCTGAGGCTTGTTGGAAAGGCTTCTCCGAGACAGCCAACAAGATAACGGCATGAGCACCAAGACCATCGGGAGTTGCCGCTTTCACATCAGCAACAAGATCCTTGGACTTGGTAAAGTCGACATAAGTCTGTTTTGGATTTTTGTTAGCTTCCATAGAATGTCAGGGTACAGAGATTCACGATCATACCTCTGTGCCAAGCTTCTCACACATCTCTCGCTTCTCCTCGCCTCCGTCAATAGCAACCACTCTAAGACCCATGGCCTTTGCGTACTGCTGTGCAAGTGACCCGAGGCCACCGCCTGCTCCAACAATAGCAACTGTTTGGCCAGGACGAACGCCGGATTCCTTCAAGCCCTTATAAACAGTGATACCAGCGCAGAGCACTGGAGCTGCTGCATCAAGAGGGACACCCTTGGGGATCTTAGCAGCATTGGCGGCCTTTCCGATGGCGTATTGCTGGAAGGTACCATCGACAGTGTATCCAGAAAGTTGCGCGTGAGCGCACAGAGGGGTATCAGATTGTCTGCAGAATTCACACTCGGCACACGAGCTGTTGATCCACTTAATTCCAGCGTGGTCACCGATCTCAAAGGTGTTCACAAGTTCACCCTTGGCCACGACCACTCCAGCTCCTTCGTGGCCACCGACCAGAGGCATCTTGACTGGGATGGGCCAGTGGCCCATCATCGCATGGTAATCGGTGTGGCAAACGCCAGAGTAGCGAATCTTGACCAGAATCTGATCAGGACCGGGCTTAGGAACGGGGATCTGTTTGAGGACAAGTGGCCCTCCGATCTTCTCGGCGACCTGCGCCCATTGTGTCTCGGGGATGGACATATTGATGAGATGGAAAGTTTGGAATGAGTTATAAGTGTGTAGAAGATTGATTCTTTGGTGAGTTGATGATTGTTTGCTGGGCCTCAGTTGGAGCTTTATAGCTAAACATGTCGGGTGGGGATGTCCGGGGTAGCAAAAGGCGGGGCAGGACCTGTCGCATCGATTCTCATGTTTCCTACCATCTGAGGCAATTAGACCGGGCTACCGGAATGTGTCAACGATGACAGACCACCCGGAATACTGCAAGGCGTAGACTGATTGGGGTTCAGTGTGTATGATCCAAGAACTTGAAATGCAGGAGAGGCAATGCGGGGAAGGTTTGCGGGGATCACGCACGGCCCGCCATGCGGAGCCGCACGGGTAGCTACTGCGATTGGATGGATGATTCTCACCGAAATCCTTTTTGTCCGTTTCCAGGGAGATCTCGGGATCACAAATGACGTCGGGACTATTCTGGCCCGAAAATATGAAAATATGCAGACGGTCAGTGGCAAATATCCAACAGAATTGGCGCTTAACCCTCAAGGCATCGCAAGAGATACATCTAAAATCTTTTGACTAAATCGACACCTTGCAATCTTGGCCATTATGGTCATCATGAATAGTATTGGTATAATCATATTTCGAAATTTCAATGTTGTACACGAAAAAAAGAGGATGGCGAGGGGGAAAGTCCCAGAAAGGGCAAATCTCCGAGAATCCAACACACAGGGCCCATCTCTCTTTCTCTTCCAGTCATAAAATTAGCAGAACCAATTTGCGTATATTTTGGTTGCGCTAGTCAGCAACCATGGGGTTCTTCTTCGATCCCGTGGGGAAAGAATGTGCTTGACCAGCCACTGCTGATAGCAAATCCGGAATATGGCTCCTCTTTTGCATACATATGTATCTTTGCCAAGCTGGTTCCGAAGCTGTCATCCAGAGCGAGGTATGGCGTCCCCACTTCACTATCTTCGGATACGCTGGATGACCTCTCTGACGACGTCGAATATTCCGCATCTGAGAAGAAGGGCATGAAATTGTCATTTCCTTTAAAGATAGTTCCGCCACAAGCCTGATTTCCGAATTTGAAACTCGATTGTTCGTCGAAAAAGGTTGAGTCAATGACTTCATCAAAGACTTCTTCAAATGGGTCGCTTCTGTTGTCTGGGATATGTCTCTCATCGTTGACTTGTTGTCTAGTTATCTCGTTGCTATACCCCATATTAATAAGGATGCAATAGTGCTGAAGTAAAGCTAGACTGACTCATAAATTGTAGTATTCGAAATATTCTCTTGTTGATGCTGGGTTTGCTGCAGGGAAGTAACACCGCGACACGAGCTAGCCTTGGATGCTTTCTTCGTACCTCCATTGAGGTATTTAGGCGGTTTGCGATGTCCATCAACACATTGCGACGGCATCTTGCGCTTCACGCATTGCCCACAAGGGCGTTCATTTCCTACCGCCTTTGTCAGTTTATTCTTCTCGAACTACACTTGTTCGAGACCACAAGGCGGGGTATCCCTGAGCTTACCGCATGTTTTATGGGCCTTTTGGCAATACAAGCAAGATCTTCTAGCCTTTCTGCGGGGGCGCGGGATCTCGAATTCAGTGCGAGATGCCATGTTCAGACTAGTCATCTTCAATTTGTGTAGTGTGGGATCTTCAGGGGAGGGAGATAAGATAGTGTCACGTTTGTCGATGCGACGAACTTGGAATCAGGCTTTATATATACCTCGATAAAAGGTTCTTCATGAAGGTTACTAACACCAAGGGTCCTCGCAATATATGGCCACCAAGGTGTTTATCAAGACTACGTTCATCGACTGCCATAAGAAATTTGAAACGTCATTCTGAGCGGCTCCGCATGTTTGGCCATCCTACAACATAGTTCTCACAATGGTTTAGCCCCCTTCACCAGATGGGGATATCGGGGCCGTCCTTCAGTTCAAAATAATGCGGGGTAAATCAGCAAGAAATGCGCCGATCGTAATTTCAGTTGTGCGGCTCCGCATGGCCATTTCGGAACCGCATGGCCCCGAACTCAACGCGTCAGGTCTTGGCAATTGGCGATGATTTCCAAGTTTCAAAGCCACCAACATACTTTTTGGATCATCTGATCTGCATTCCCCGCAAAAAGACTAGCAAACTCCTTGTTATATTTGTGGAGTCAACCCCCGGATGGAAGAGTTTATTTGGCACAGAGTTTATGTGGCAACTTGGATTCAGCGAAGGTAGCGATCATCAAAGTTAAAACCCTGCTGCATACGGGACATAGCACATCGATACACTCCATTGGTTGACCCCCTGTCTATTTTCATCGGTTATTGTGCTCACTCCCTGTTCTGGACTCATCCGGCCTTGCTGAAAATCGAGACATCCCACATTAACCGTCTGATTGGACGCGGTGGAAAGGAGCATGACTGTACTCTCCACTCCCCCTGTTTTACAGTGAAATGAGTGAAGATCAATTACCCCGTGGTGCACGTCAGCTACAAAGTCCGGGGAAAGGTTAAAGGTTCCACAGTCCCCGCAATTTAATAACAACGAGGCTTATCTTTCAGAGCTTTCATTCTCATTACCTGCTATAGTATACTCTTCTACTCTTTGAAGAAACCAGAGAGAGCCATGTCACAACCCAGCGAGAACAGAATGGACAGCTACGCCAGTCAAAATGGCGAGTCGAAGGCCACTTTCCAAAACAGGGAGAACACACAAAATGCTCTCACTACAGTCCCAACATCAGTGACTCTGTCAGCTGAACAATTTGAAAGGCTTTATTTGAGTCCTATGACGGTTCGCCAATCATCACTAGCGAAGAAGGTTGGAAATCCGACACCATTGTGAGTCTCTGAATACTATCTTCTACGCACGGCAATTGTATCTGACTTGATTCAACATCCAGAGCACTAGGAGGTTTTGTCATTACCACCACACCCGTTTCATGCTGCTTGATGGGCTGGAGAGGAGCCAGTGGGAATGGAATTGCTTTCATGTGAGAAAACCAATGGATCGAGAGAGCCCCATCTAATTGAACTGAACAGTGGACCTATCATTTTCCTTGGTGGTCTGTTGTTGCTCATTACGAGTATTCTTGAGTTCATCATCGGAAATACATTCCCCTGCGTTGTGTTTGGCACTATTGGTGGGTCTTCCTATCTCATGATACAAGCCTCACTCACTCGTTCATGTTGCTGATATTTCACCAAGGCGGGTTTTGGTTTGCGTTTGCAGCCACGATGATTCCAGCTTTCAATGCAGCCGGTCAGTTTGTTCAGATATATCATTCTACCCTCAAGTTATGAGTTTGCTCACGTTTCATAGCCCCCTACTCTTCGTCAACCACCGATACAGCTGCCGGGCTAGCCAGCGAAAGCTTTATGAATACCTATGGTAAGGGCAACCAAGACTCTCAAATTTGATGAATAGCTCTGACGAAACCAGCATTCCTATTCATAACTATGGCGGTTCTGATGTTCATCTTCATGATTTGTGCAACACGTATCAATGTGGTATACACACTCATTTTCCTCACCCTGCTGCTGGTTTTCCTTCTACTGTCTGCGGCCTATTGGGAACTAGGCCAAGGGAATGCGTCTGTTGGTGATCGGTGTGTGAAAGTGAGTATCATTCCCATTATGTCTCTGCTATTTTGACTGAATTCTGACTCGATCTTTCTTCCAGGGTGCTGGAGCTTCACTCTTTGTTTCTAGTTTACTCGGGTTTTACCTGTTGATTGTTCAATTGTTTGGGTCCATAGGGTTCCCATGCGTTTTGCCGGTTGGCGACTTGGCAGGACTTTGGACCCGCAATGAAGACAAGTGAGTCTCCAAAAAACAATCGAATGGTTCGTTCTGACATAATACAAGAGAGCGAGACGATGTTGAACAGCCAGCCGCTCGCTAGGGTTGAATCTTTTACGGTTTATCTAATGTTGCTTGCTGGTATAGGAAGCCGGCTGTGTCGGCTGGCTGTCTCGGATGTGCAGGATAGCTTCAACCTCGAAAGTTTTTGCACCAGTCAGCTCTATCAGCCGTTCCGCTGTTTTTTTGTTTCCTTGTGATCTTACCAGGTAATTTTTGCGAGGCTTAAGCGAGGCATTGTTAAAAGTCGGAGGGGTATATTGCTATAGGGTGCCGGGTCAGCTTTCCAACCCTGCGCAGATTGACTTGCGCATACATGTGACTACTCATCATATATCTTAGCTTGTAAATCTAATTGGTAAAATTTTCCGAGCATTAAGAAAAAGCAGAGTACTCAAATAAAAGGATATTTCGCAGAGGCTCACTCGATCAACAGCAATACGCCGTTGCAGTAACTCACCTCCTGTCAATCCAGAGAATTTCCTATTTAGGAAGTGTGAATAACCTCACTATGGCTACTTGCTGTCGTCGTGGAACCTGCCGAGGGAGAAGGGCATATCTCTACATAATTCCGCAAGGATGTTACTTAGAGCCAAAACTACAATCCGGTGGTGCCTGACAACCCTATATTTGCCACTATTTTTGCCTACAAGTTGAGACTCGGTTCCAACATCTCCATACACATTATTACTCCGTACATGTAACTATGAGCCACATGCGGGCCCACCAGTCCCCACATCGTGGATGAGTCATGAAGACTCATCCAGCCCCGCCCCCGGGGCCTCCACACCAATCGACATATATAGATCTCGACTTCCAGGGATCAATTAACAGCCCAAACCAAGCTTGGAAACTCCAATCCGATTCCCATGGTGTAATACACTCCAACCCCTTGAACTCCAATTCCTCGTGAAAATTCTGGGCGCCGTGACACTCACAACCTCAACCTCAACCATGTCACCCCCCACGGCCCCAATGACCTTCTATGACATCGCCCTCGCACCTCCTGTCACAAAATCCTCCTGCTCCCCAAATCCCTGGAAAAGCCGCTACGCCCTGAACTTCAAAAATGTCCCCTACAAAACAACCTGGATACCCCTACTCGCCATCAGCTCCGTCCGCGGCGCTCTCAACATTCCCGCCTCACGCAAATTTGCCGACGGATCCCCCTACCAAACCCTACCTGTTCTCTCCGACCCAGCCACCGGGCGCATAGTGGGCGACTCCTTCGAAATCGCGATATACCTACAGGAACAATACCCATCGTCGGGGGCGGGAGACTTGTTCCCGGTGCAGACACTGGAGTTCGTCTTTGGGCGGGATTTGGGGCTTTACGCGCCGATTGCAGAGGCGCAGGTCGCGGAGGGGCCTGTTGCTGCATACGCGAAATTTAATACGAATGTCGATGCTGTGTTTAGTGCGCATGCGCGCCTGATGGTGCCTGGCATGCCTTTTGATCCCGCTGTTGCGGAGGAGTGCAAGGCTATGTTCTCGAAGAGGATGGGTGTGCCGTGGGAGGCTTTAGCGCTTGGTGGGGAGGAGAGGGAGGAGTTGTTGAGGTCCTTTGAGGAGACTTTGGGTGGACTTGCGAAGTTGTATACGAATGATGCGAGTGGGCCGTTCCTGATGGGGGGCAAGGCAAACTATGCGGATTTCATTGTCGGGGGGTGGTTGCGCATGAGTCGAGGTATGTTGCCGGTGGAGGAGTGGGAAGCGTTGAAGGGATGGCATGGCGGTGTATTTGGAAGGTTACATGAGGCTCTGGAAGTGTTTGCGCAGATGGACTAGATCTGGATAAATGGCTGGGTGGTGGATGATGGATGGCGTTGTATATTACGCATTCGGCCCGATGCACGGTTTCAGAACCTTCATAACTATGTACATATACATGAAATATCTGATAGTATGTTAGTATGTACGGAGTACTCCGTAGTGGTAGTTGAGATGTTGCCCAGACATATGTTAGGTAATTTCTCACGTGACGTATCATGTGACATAAGGGATTACATAAGACTATTTAACCGGGCGCCAAAGGATCATAAGGACAAACAGAGCGTCTATTGTTCATTGCAGCGGTATATATCAGGCCCTAAGATTCGTTAGAGTAACATTCGCTAGGGGCCATTGCTAGGGGCCAGACTAGGAGTGGTTTCAGCGTCGAAAAACGAACGGGAAAGTGTTCCTTGACGCGATCTTTGGTCTTTAATTCATTTGGCCACGAAGCCTCCCTTTTGTGATACCATGGATCGCAGAATATCACCATCAGACTTGACCGACTCAAACCGTCTCGTGGAAGATACCATGATCCATGTCTTTCGTGTGGATAACACGACGGTAGTGAAATTATGCGACCCAAGCCGCCTCGCTGAGGCAGAAGCTATGAGGTTCATCCGCTCTAAAACTTCCATTCCGGTTCCAGAGGTTTATAACGCTTATGTCGATGAAACCATTGGCCGTGGGGTCATTGTTATGGAGTACATTGAAGGGGAGGTTCTTCGCGATGTTATTGAGGATATGGATGACACACGACGCCAAAAGATTATCTCGGAATTGCAAAAGTTCATGTCCGAGCTACGATCAATTGAAGGCGATTTTATCGGCTCTATTGATGGCTCAGCTTGTGAGGATCCTGTCTTTTGTGCCGAACAGGGTGGGTTTGGCCCATATAAAACGGAGAACGAATTCAATGAAGGGTTGGTCCGGGCAATGACCATCAACCAGACGACGAACTCTTGGATTAAGCATGTTGCAAAACTCATTCGAGCCATGCCATCCCATACAACAGTGCTCACCCACGCGGACTTTTCTCCGCGAAACATCATTATCAGTGGTGAGCGGGTTGTTGGAATACTCGATTGGGAGATGGCCGGATTTTATCCTGAGTACTGGGAATATATCAAGGCTATGTATCACCCGGACTGGCAAAGTCGTTGGATCGAGGATGACATTGTGGACACTGTACTGAAACCATTTTATCTCGAGCATGCTGTCATGTTACATATGCAACAGGTTGTCTGGTGACGACTTCTCAAAACTCGCTTCAAGATTTAGTCTATCTACCGACAAAGAAAATTGGGAATATTTTGATTGTGGGAGAATCCCGAATGTAAGTAAATGCATATCTCAGTCAGAAACAATATACCTCGCGGAGTCAGAGTAGAAACAGAACCTCACTAAAAGCAAAAGAAAAACGGGCAAAAATGAACGGAAATATGTAATCAATTACCGAAAGAAAAGAATTTGAAAATGAAAAGAGCAAAAACCAAAAGTCCTATTTTAGTTGCATGGCTCGTATGGAGTAAATTTTCCTGCATGGAATGCGAAACGTTCCAACCTTCCAAGGATGTGAGACTTGGTAGAGCCGCAACCGTGGACCCACCCATGGATGGGCGGCGGCTCGGGAGCCACAGAGACCCGGTGGACCGTGCTTAGTGTTCTTCGCGTAATGGTAATTCAGGTATTAAATCCCCACCGCCCGGGCCCACCAGGGCTTGGACCTCCCCTTGTTAATTGAATACGTAACTATCGAGCGCCGTGTGGTCTTCCGTATTTCTCCTTGTCAATATAAGCTTAATGTCTCGAAAACCGTATCCCACCCCATTGGTTGTCCAGCCACTGAGTGGAGAGCACACACATACTATCATCTCGCTTCATGGAAGAGGTAGTAACGCTGAGCGCTTTGGTCGTGAGCTCCTTGTGTCGGCAAGCCTACAAGGCCGACTTCCTACAGTAAAATTTGTCTTTCCCACTGCCCGCAAGCGGAGGTCAGCTATACTCAAGAAGATCCCAATTCATCAGTGGTACGATAACTACTCCCTTGAAGACCCCGGACACAGAACAGACCTTCAGGTGGATGGGCTCTCTGAGACTGCTGAGTTCATTCGCGGCTTAGTCACCGAAGAGGCACGGATTTTAGGCGAGGCAAGTCATTCAAAGATCATCATATGGGGGTTGAGTCAAGGCTGTGCTGCGGGTATCTTCGCGCTTTTAGGTGGCTGGCCCGACACTAGTGAAGGAAATACACTCGGCGCATTTATTGGGATGAGTGGATGGCTGCCATTTGAGCAGCAACTATGCGAGATTCTCCGATCCGATGCAAGCCTAGTATCGGCGGAAGACAATCATCAGGAGATGCAATCGGAAGACGACTCATCCGAGGAAAGTGAAAGTGATGAAGAGTCAGAAGCAGATGTATATTCCGAACAAGACTTCAGCGACAATGCATTGGAGGAGAGCAGCCCAGTACACGATGACTCCAATCCCTTCAAGGGGCTCAAGGAAGACAGCTCACCGTGTGGTGACTTCAATCCATTCGAGGAGGACGAGGAAGAAGCTCCGTTGGTCATCCAGGCTATCAACCACGTTCGTGACATCCTTGCTCTTCCTATGATTCCGAAGAATATCCAGTCATCGGAAGACGGTGATTCAACAAGTTTGTGTCACCTCCACACTCCTGTCTTTCTGGGCCATGGCGCACAAGATCCTAAAGTCTCTGCGCGTCTTGGTGAAAAGATGTCTCGTATGCTGTCAGATGGCCTAGGCATGGATGTGACATGGAAGGAATATCAAGGGCTAGGGCATTGGTACCGTGTTGAGGACGAGATTGAAGATATTTTGGGGTTTCTTCGGGATCGTGTCAACCTACCAGTGATACCAGAGTCATCCCTAGAGAAACAGAAAGGACAGGAGAAGCAATTATGAGTTCTTTGAATTAAACACGCCAGGCGACGGATTTTAAACCGATGATTAAGTATTCCCTAAAAACCCTCGTACTAGGTTCGGAAAGGACATGTGCTCAGAAGAAGTCTGATGTCAGTCAAAAATCAGCTCTCTATACAGACCAAATTGAGCCAATGAGAGAAACCAAAGGAGTGGGAGAGGAGGGAACTATGATGAATCCTGAAAAAGATCGTAATTTCTGTATTGCTAAGAGACAGATGAGAGTCCTTTAAACTATTCAAAGCACCAAACTCCAAACTCCACTATTTACCAAGATACTAACTATCATAATCACTAAGCTGAGAGTTCTTCCAATTTCTCAGCTATCTGCTCAACATCAAGGTCACTTGGCCTTGTTTCAATGGCCTGAACTTCAACCTTGTTGTCCTCTGACTTGGGGATATCTTTCTCTCCCTCCTCCTTCTCCTTCTCGAGCTTTTTCTTCGCAGCATGAGTCTTCGCGATGTCTATATGGGACAGCGTATACTCATCTGGATCCCAAGCCAGAACTCTGCTTTCCATCTCTTTAACCTTTTTTGCCACAAGTAGTTCCATCTCATCTTTCTCCGTGTCACTTAAGAGATCAAGTCTCTGCCTCCACGCATCCTCGACATTGTCCGCCGGTCCAAAGAAGCGCTGATCGATCTTTTCCCAATATATCACATCGATGGCACGGGTGGTCCTCGCGGCATATGCAATCCAAAAGTCACCACTCTCCCAACTTTCTCGCATTGGACCGGAGAGTCGATCTTCTTCTTTCGTAGCGGTAGCGTTTTCACGATCGATCATCGCCTTCAAAAATGTCTGGAGCCGGCGATCGAACACGTTTGTCCAGTCCTCAAGACCTTGAGGCCAGTACTCCGGTGTTTCAATAAGAAGCCACCAAGGTGGCGCGTAGGAAAACTCCACCGGAGCCGCGTATGTGAACTCCCAATCCACGACGCCGGTCACTTTAGAGTCATTGTTGACAAGAACATTAGTTGGTCGGAAATCATCACACCATATTTTGAACGGGCCTGTATCGAATGCTACCCATCGCTTGGTGAGCTTACCCTCGCGGGCTAGCTTGCGGAAGAGGTATCTACCAACGAACTTGCGTCGGCAATCATCTGCAGACTCGATTGCGTCGTTTCTTTGATGGATGAGATTGGCAATGTGAAGTTCCGCCAGGGCTTCGAAGTACGAAGATGCTGAGGTAAATATTGTCTCGTAGCTTGGTAATTCTGACTGAGGTAGGGACCCTAGTCTAACGAGTTCGTTTGAATTCATTGATAAAGGACGACTCACCACTTCCCATGTAAAGTCGTCAACCCGACTCAATGATCCGATCCGAGGGAAGTGTACTTTTGAAAGTTGCAAAAGAACGCCAGCTAGCTCCCCATATAATGCTTGAAGAGTGTCCTCATTGATATCGGGGTTAAGCCTTCCCCTTTCCGCAGGTGGGTAATTTGGGATATTGAGAAGGTCGTACATATTCGTGTCATGTTCGACATATTCCATGATAATGAAAGGGCCCAACTCCAAGGGAGACTCTTTCTTAGAACCGCAGTGGAGAATGAATGGCACCGGGATTGAAGTCGCATCATGAAGGTATCGCATAATGGCAACCTCGTTCCGAAGCTTTTCCTCGAGAAACATAGCCGCACCGGGTAGGGGAAAGCGTATGGTGGCGGCAACACCTGTTTTGTACGACATCCAAAATGCAATATTGTATGTACCCTTTCCCAAGAGAGAAAACCGAAGTGGGTAATCTGGCTCATGATTTTTAAGTAGAAAGTCTCCGACCGGTCTTGCGATGTTGGGGTCGAAAAACTGGAGAACCCAAGTATCAGTTATTTCCTCGCTTTTCTCCCAGGCAACATCATCGTAAGACATGTGTGGTTGCATGTTGGCTTTTCAAGAATGAATGAGAGATATTGCACGATGAGGTTCAGAGGAGAAGACAGAGGAGAAGAGTGGAAATGGAGCTTGAATAGGGGCAGAATTGGGCATAAAAGGTATAATCACATGACCTTCGATGATCCCTCGTGGATGAGACACATCACTTCTTGAGACGCTTGGTCAACCAGAGTGTTGGTTAGTTATCAACTAGTTAGTTATGAATAACCGTCTTATTGGCTTTGTGGGCCAGGTGTGATGAAGGTGTGTATATGCACATACATATAGGTAGTAGTACATCTATATCGTGTAATACGTCGTTTGTCTATACTCCGTATAAGATAATAAAGGCTCCACTTTTAGAGTCTGCACCATATACTACATCGATTTAGGTGAACAGTTGCGCGTTCATTCATATCACAAACTTGGCTTCCCATTTTGTTGGCTACCAACGCACATGATATTTCTCCACGTAATCTGCGCAGTACTGCGCAGTCTTAACATCACAAATTATATCAGTCCTCATGACTATCTCTGAAACATATCAAGCCATCATATACATCACAAGGCATGAAATTTGCGTGGTTTTGCCCGTGTAGAACCTCCGAGCGTGACAGCAATGCCTTTCCCCCGCCGCAGCGCCGCGGTCTGAGCCAGTAATCCATCCCATGATTTTGGATTTGTTTCGAAGACTTCCTGGATTTAGCCAGTAAAGAGGCCACAAACATATACGTGAATCAATATCAGTGAGTCACCCACACTCATTTGCGGTCTAGGCACGGCGGGCCAGTGCAGGGGTATGTTTCCATTAGCATCATCGGCGCATCTGGCGCTGTTTTAATTATGTCGTAAGCGCAGAGGGCTCCGAGGCCTCGCGTTGGGCTGACTATATACTTGCCCGGCTTATACTGTTCCACCAATAGTTCGATCCTCATTGATATACCACGTCCTGTATAGCCTCAAGTCCATATCGGATTGGTTGCTTGCCATTGTCTAGCTTGCATGTTGAGGTAATCTAGTTTCAAGGAGAAATATTATCTCATTCTCTATACATTACTCAATTATTACTTCTGTCAGGTATAAATGGGTGGCAACTCACCTTTCTGTGATCAGATTCAAGTGAGCGCCTGCCTTCCTCGAGTCTTTTACTCCGCTGGATATCTGCAATACCAATACTCTATCTCATTTTACTCAAGCCTAAAAGCCTTGTCATCTTCCCTGCCTTGGATACTTGATGTGAGTTCTTCTTATTCCCTTCAAGGGCCCTCTTTTGTGTCGTATTCTATGATTGTCTAACAATAACTTGCAGTTCAATCGCAATGACTAGCAATACCAATAGCACCTCAGCACGCTATCAGCTGGATATCTCGGCCGAGCAGGCAGCCGATCTGGATAAGAAGGGCAGAGAGTCTGCAGAAAAGCGAGGCGAAACCTTCACGCCGGAGCAGAACCAAACCTTCATCAGTGCTCCCGAGCGCATCATGCCGAATTCTGCCGGCCAATCTAGTATCAACAAGCGGAAGCATGTTACGGAACAAATTGCCGAGGAGTATGTCAAAAAGTGAAGCTACTCTTTTTGGACTCTTGATGGGCAGAGACGGCATGTTTCATTTTTTGACTCGGCCGTCTTACTGCTTTGCACTATTTATGGTCTGCAGCTATCTATTTGGTTTTTGATTTTTCTTTGATCTTCCTGTCTTCTGTCGTTATGTTGAGGGTATTGCCTTTGTTGAAGGTTTTGCCTTTGTTGAGAGTATTGCCTTGTGCTGAAACTATAACCGTCTTGCGTTATCTCATCCCCATCGTAGATATGTAGTTATCTCCATATAAATTTGTATATATCTCGATGGATATATACACATATGTTACAGTCCAGTAAGAACAATTATGGCAAATAAATTGATGGAAACTACATGTAAGTTGAGTGAAATATAGGCATACGATTGTCATACACAAGCTTCATAGCATCAGAACCTGCCCGACGATCTTCGTCTACTACATAGAATGAACAGCTATTTTGCTCTTTCTTCGCCAACGAAAGGATAATGGTTACATATATAGAAATAACTCTGTCAACCAGGCTCTGCTGCCCCCCATCTAATATCACATGTTAGAGCTAAGAGACAGAGATTCTTGCTATCTCGGCTTTTGGGCCTCTCTGGCCCACGTGCTTGAGCAGCCGCAACTCCAGTCTTGATCCTTTGGTGATCGGCTGGGTTGAACTTAACCTTAGGTCCCAATCACAGTTGATATGCAATGTGAATGTCGACTGTGTTGAAGGACTAGGGGTTCCATATCCTTGATGTCACCTGCGGTGTGATATTTTTCGTGCTCAGCATGCATCTGATTTGACTACGCTTCTGTTCTAGTCTCAAAGGGTCAGAGTATGCATGCTGCTGCCTAAGTTAGTAAAACGAATGGGCACGGTCTCGGGGATCAAGGTGGCCCGAGGGAAATCTCCGTTTCCCCTTCGATTATGTATCTCTTCTTGCTGTGGTGCCTTCTGGAAGTGGGGACCATATGGGTACGCAGGGGCATAGGGTTACTTTCGGATTTAATGCAATGCATTGCGGCCTTGGTGCCTGTATTTGGCCTGTATTTGGCCTGATGGTGGCCTTCAACCTAACCACTTTTAGGCCCTAGGATACAGTATATTATAAGGCTTTCGGTATAGAATAACTAGTACACCAGACGAACCCTTACTAACTTATTAAGGTAAATATCTATTACTAAGGTAATACCTACTCCTACGCGCTATCTACCAGGACTAATCCCCCTTTCGTCTCTTCCTTTTCCTCTCTTCCTTTTCCTTTCCTCTCTTCCTTTTCCTTTCCTCTCCTCCTGATCTACCTTCATTTAGGAATCTATATATATTATTTTCTCTTAAGAGATATATATAATTGATTAGATCGCTATTACCTCTGAATTCAGGTCTAAACCGCCCAAGAATGATACGATATATAGATTTGCATGGCAGAAATAGCTTCATATTCATATGGCTAGGTCTCCGTAATTGTAATTCAGGTATTGTAGTGGGGTTTCCAGAGCAGGATGACTAAGCGGCTATGTGACATAAAAGCACTCCCAAGGCATAACTAGATAGCAACGCAGACACCTTTCCACTTCCATTCTCAGTAGTCACCCCATGGTGTTCTCCTCTCTAGCACCATACTACTCCCAGTGACGACTCTGCTCTCACACCTGTTTCGCAGACAGGGCTGTCGGTGCCCCTCAGGGGTCCCCTCTTCAGTATCTTGATTTTTCTGCCATACCAAATTAAGGCATTAAGGCACCAATGTATGCATTAAATCCGAAAGTAACCCTGGCCCCTATGCCCCTGCGTAATATGGGCTCGGTTTATGCTGCGCAAGATTTCGTGCAACTGGCTGCTGAGCGTATTCGGGAATTTAGTATGTAGGCTCAGAGAGCTTCCTTTGAGGTTTCGAGCGCAGCTTTCCACCGAGAAAACCCATAATCACAGAATATGAGTCAAAGCAAAATATCTCTAGCCAATACTTATATTGAATAAGCATGAGAATAATACATTTCTTCTGGGGTATAATATAGGACTATATAGGGAGCTCGCCAGATGCTCAGGCCATACTCCTCGCTAGGACCCCGACCAACTTGAAAAAGCACAAACCACTGGAAGTTTCAGATGATGATTTACGCGCCCATATTTGGGCAACTGATGGTAATAAATGGGGAGTATTTGGCGAACATGCAAGATTGTGGTTGTTTCACTCTGACATTAGCCCTACAACATGGTAGGCATGTATGCAAGAGGACAGGGGTGATATTGGAAAATAACCTCAAGATAAACACCAGGGTAATACAGTGAAAGCCCCTTTCATTAAAATCGAGATTCACTGTAAATAGATAAGTCCGAGCATACACGAATCGAAAGCATAATTGATATTCATGGCTAGCGGCTCTCACCACAATACATACCGCCCCAGAATTAGATTGATTGGCCTCAAGTGAATTTCCACCATAGCCTTTTGAAACATAATCGATTGTAACCTCAGCTGTTGGCTAAGAATACATTGTGAAGCCGCTTTGCCTTGTTTTGCGCGGGCAGAAGCCTTACGTAAGACCCCACAGTTTCCCTTTTCCTCCTTTTTTTCGTAACATCGGAAATTTATCATATCACAGTCGTTATGGTAAAGTGCAAGCTCCAATACTGAAAAATTTGATGCTGACTTTTCTTCCTAAGGCCAAATCGACACTAGAAGGGCTCCCAACGGAGCTGCTCATTCTTCTTTTGCTTGAAATACCCGATCTGGCTTCTCTAAAGTCCTTCATTCTTTCATCGCCGATTGTTCACCAAGCCTACGTTACGGTGGGACAAAAAGCTCTCTGTCGCATCGTCAAGGATCAATGGGGACTGCTTCTAGGAGATGCAGTTGCTGCTACGCGGTCTCGTGGTCTGCATATATGTTATTACAGACACGAAGCAATTGCCATGTTAGGCACCTGGCGTCGCAAAGAAGATATCAGTAACCTTGGGCTGAGTACATTGATTTGGATAGATCAGCCCAGCAATCTAGAAGAAATCTTCAACCTATTTTATCTTCACAAGGTGTTCCACTTTTTTTAAAAAGAGTATGAGACGAAAGCACCGCGGCCCCCATGGATATCACACGATCAATGGGAGAACTCAATTATCCCCATTCAGATGTCTTACACCGAAAAGCACCGGTTTCTTAGGGCTTTGTGTCGACTGCAAATTTACTCCAATATTTTTGGTGAGGATGAACAGCCGAGTTCCGATGGATTAAAACACAATTGTTGGGGTGGTAGTCTCACAAGAGACTTTCATCTCCATGACGTGGCATATCGCTTGTTCTTTGGGAGTATGCCTTTTTGGGAATTACAAGAAATAGGCTGTCTATGGGCATTCTTCACGACAATGTTCAGACGATATTTACAAGGGAATCTCTGCCGGTCTCCATAGCCTTGTCGAGAAGCATATGACCAAAGATTATTTGACGTATCCATATTTCGAATCCCTCCCTCGGGATGTGCGGCCTCCATGGAGTAGGGTGAGCAAACTCGCACATGTCGAGCTCCTTTGGGAATTTTCGAATTCGATAGCTTCAATGGGACCAGAGTTTGTCTACCGCCTTCTTCACGGGACGCCCCTGATTCAGCGTGATATGGTGATTTCCAATGGAATGGAAGACCTGCTTAGCTCCTTCCCTAACATGTATGTGACGGAAGATATGATGGTTCCTTTTCTTTATCCTGCAGATCGGCACGCAGTTCAAGATTATGAGCAGCTTTGGTCGACTTTGCCATCTATCGAGCAACCTAACCTCGAATGGAAACAGGTGCATGTGCTACCTGAGACACTGGGACAAACTTTTGAAGAAGCTATTGATGTCGATTGTGCGCCTAAATCTGTATGGCGCTGGGGTTATGCTATATTTGATGACGAAAGGTTGAGGGCATGGAAAGTGCCTTTGGCGGAATTTCGTTTGGGCCACGAGCCCGAATTTGCAGTTTAATTTATTCGTTTTGTTGTTTGAATATTGACTGGAAGTAGTTCATCCTCGCCTGAAACGGCGCCAAAATTTTATAGTCCAATCCCATATATCTCGTGCTCTGAATTAAGGTACCATCATAGGCTGCGTCATTTAGCTATGGGTGGAACGTATCGAGCAGAGGATTCGACGTAGGAGCCACATCATCCTGCGAGGCTTGGACTATTAGAAGTCTGAAAGAAAGCTATAGAAATTATAAAAGCAGATATGAACATTAAGAGATAAAGAGACAGAGCTAGAGAAGCACTAGGTAAGGATAAGCAGGTGTGAACAAAGGAATCCGAGTCCTTGGACATATATCTGCGCAATATTTGAGTACAAAGAATTCTCGAAAGGAAATATGAGTCGAAGAGAATGGCCTCACTACATGAAACGACTCTGTTCAGAAATTGCGGGCTTTGATACTGCTATTCTTGTTGTCAATGAAGCAATTCCCAATCTATTATTGGAACACATTCATTGAAAACAAAAACCACCAATGTCTTTCACCAGACTCATTATTGGCCTTCAACTCTTGCTTCTATATCAATAGTATGTGGCATGTAAAAAGGATAATATTCGACAAGCAAATCCCTTATATAATGCCTGGCTTCACTCGGCCTATTTCGCATCACTCGACTTCGACTTGGATATTAATCCGCCACCAATTCCAAATAAAGCTACTTTTATTTGTTGATGCTATAATCTACATGTACTGAAGATTTCCTGATAGCGTCTAACAGCGGTGATTATGGATCATCTTTCACGGCTTTCCAAACGCATTCGGGGAATTGCCAAGGCAGTTGTTTCATTCTCATCATCAATCGTGGATCATATCACACTGAAGCGACGGTGTGAAAATGAAGATTCTGATGAGGAGGAGGATGATGACTCGGATTCCATCGACATAGATCCATTCGAAGCAGTATTGGAAAGAGTGAAAGCGAAGCGTATTCGTGAATACATGACAACGATTCGCGCGAAGACTCTTTCAAACGATAAGAAGAAAATTCCTAACGTTGAGGTTGAGTCTCCTACTTTCATAGGGGAGCACATTTGCTATAGGGTGAAGTTTGCCGACGGAGTTAGCTGGATCCTCAAAGTCCCAGCTATCGGAACCCCTGACCAATTTGACAAAGACGATGCCGAGACCCTTCGCTCGGAAGCATTTACGATGATCATGCTGCGGCGTGAGACAACCATACCAATCCCCGAGGTCATTTCATACAACAATACATGCACAAACAAGCTCAAAGTTCCCTTCATTCTCATGGAGTTCATCGACGCTCGGCCTTTGGACGAAGTCTGGCATGACCGGGAATCTCCGAAAGAAGTTGTACAGGCTCGGCGTACACGCTGTCTGCCGGATATTGCTGCAGCGTATATCCAGCTTGGAAAATACACTTTCAACGAAGATAGGCCCCTGTGATTTGACGACCAAGATTGCCTTATAGGTGTTGTACCCGTGAACAACGACCCATTCTCGGGTCTCAAAGAGGGTTGTACTTCTCATCTGGACAGATGGGGGAACGAGGAGGTTGAGCATCGAAAGGGGTTGCTGAAGCTTCTTCGGATGTTTGTCGACTGGACTCCAGAGCCAAATGGTGGAAAATCCTTCGTTTTGTCACATCCAAACCCCAATATTTTCAACTTCCTTGTCTCGGAAGATGGTTCTGTGCGGGCAATCCTCGATTGGCACGGTGCGCATACCAGTTCGCCGAGTATAGGGAATGAGTCTTATACACTATGGCTGATGCGCGACTGGGATCCGAGTGTATATATATGGAGTGAAGAGATGGAACAGGGATTCATGACGAGAAAAATGTTTGGGAAGACTCACCGGACACACTGAAGTTCTATCAAAATGTCTATGCGCAATGTATCTCAGATCTGCGACCAGAAAGCGAGAATGCCAAAGTGACCCGAAATTCCCTTCTCTGAGGCCCGATGTTTAGCCTAGGTATTACCGAAAAGATCCTTCTCGAAGTCATGAAGCAAGTGGATAAGAATAGCAACAACAAAGACAGCGAAAATCCGGGTTCTTCCAAAGAGCATTCGACAGGCGATCACAGTTCACCGAATGAGACAGAGGACGTGGGACATGGTGGTATTGAAGCGGACATGGATGGAGAGGATGAAGACGAATTTTTTGATATTTATGAATTTCTCCAGGGTTTGAGCAAAGACGGTCTATATGAGCACCGACAGAAGCTTTTCAAGAAGGGATTTCATGCTTTATTTATTAGTTAGCTTCGAGGTTGTGGTGTTCGATGTATAGTAATGCACGATGACTTCAAAGACTGTTGTCACGCATTATTGTTGATGTTGATGTTGGAAACGAGGACAGTTTGAAATCACATAGAATCTTTTTTCCTTTGTTCCTAGACAAGAGTGTCTTCTCTAGAGTCTACGGAGTAGGTGCACCCAAAATGATATGCGGTTGGTATAAGAGACACCTCAGGCAGGAACTGGTTATCCAGCCACATTATGTAATCAAACACGTCAGCCAATGACAACATGCACACTAACCGATCAAGGGCTTAGGGCTCACCTCAGTCACACCCCACTGCCTTTTCGCACTTGAGCGGCTTCTGGACGTCGCCCTCTTCCTTTGAACATCCACCTCATCCGACAAAATGGTGAGTTCCCCAGCATCCCAATATACAACTCGGAAGACAGAATACTAATCGAAATGTGACGAACAGGCGCCCGCAGCAACAGGAGGCAAGAAGCAAAAGAAGAAGTGGTCCAAGGGCAAGGGTACGCAATCACCAACCATGCGATCGTGACGATTTCCGCCGAGTTCCCACAAGACACGAACGAAATCGTTGGACGAGCTGGGGATACGCAATAGCACCAAGAAGCAACATTTACTGACATGTCTTTCGCCCTACAGTCAAGGACAAGGCCCAGCACGCTGTCGTTCTCGACAAGGCCACCAACGACAAGCTTCAGAAGGATGTCCAGTCCTACCGTCTGATCACTGTCGCCACCCTTGTCGATCGTCTCAAGATCAACGGCAGCCTTGCCCGCCAGGCTCTCGCTGACCTTGAGGCTAACGGCCAGATCAAGAAGGTCGTTGGTCACTCCAGCCTGAGCATCTACAGTGCGTTCCTCAACACCCCTTATCCCTCGAAATTCCAATGCTGATGATCTTCTTCAATAGCCCGTGCCGTCACCGCCGAGTAAACGTCTCGTCTCTCGTCTTTTCTCGCGGTTTTCTTTTCCTTGCTACGAATGATATCATTTACCTTGGGAAGCCCGGCTGGGCATGATGCATAGTGGATTAACGTCTGACTCTTGAAGGGTGTGGAACATTCGCACTCCTGATATATGTCAGGTAGTGCGAACTGAATCAAAAAATCTACAAAACTTCATGAAAAGGACATGCGTCATATTCCGTAGACTTCTTTCGGCCTCTACCACCTACAATTTGCACTATCTACACCGACCCAGCAAAAACAGTAATCCTACGACTCTTCCACCATCGCACTCCTCTTCGGTCGCTGCTGCTGCGCGCTCTCACACAGCGGCAACGGCTCTCCATCAACACCTCCATCATCAACCACCCTCCCAGCCTCAAAATACTTTGCATGATTCGCAAAGAATCCAGTCCACCTCTTGACAGTCTCCTCAACCCGCGCTCTAGCAGCCCGTAACTCCTTCTCGCGACGGATTTTCCTCTGCGCAGAAGTCACAGCCTCATTCTCGACATCCTCAACCGGCATGAACATAATCTCGACACCGCGCAAGTCGTTCGTAAGATCTTCTTTAAAGCAGCCCGTGACAAAAGCGCGCGTTGCGTCCCGCCCCGCAAAGAAGTTGTAGCTCCCACCGGGTCCGTAGATCATGCGATTTTCCGAGACGTCGAAGACGGTCCCGTTCACCGCGACGTACAGGGGGAGACTGGTGTCCGTGCCGTTGTAGAGGGATAGTTGACTTGGTCTCAGGATAACAGGGCCTTGCTTTATTGTTGAAATGGATGTGTTAGCTTGAATCGACGTGACTTTTTCATTTTTTGTAAACTGAGGACCGGGATTTCGCATACCACCCACTGCTTCACCACCGGCCACCGTGTATACCATGGTCTGTACCCCCACAGCACGGACTCGGAGGAAGTCACATAATATGAGAGACCACCGCAGGCGACGAGTAGGGTCACAATCACGCGGAGTATGTCCAGCAGGCTTATGCCGTGGTCCTGGCTGGCTTCGTCGTTTATGGAGTGCTGTCCGGAGGTCGGCTCTTTGTCGGGCCCATTGCTGGACTTTGACGTGGCTGTTGGTCGCTGGCGGAGTTCTGTCATCTCTCCTGAATTTGAGTTGAGGAGTTGTAAGATCAGACAATGACCATTTGGATTGTTGTCATTGGAGTTGCACAGGTGGAGGACTTGGCTGACAAAACCCGAGGCAAGTGCCCAGCTCCGAGTGGACTTCGACTGGGCATACAGCTGATCGAATGTTAGAATGGGACCGCTAATTTAGCGTGAAGGAAAATATATTAATCCGTGTTAATCCGCGTTTCGACCATCTATCTGCTCAGAGGGGTCTTAGCGAATGTCGAGATCTCTCTTTACACTAGGATGTCTTCATAGCTTATAATAGACGTTCATAAAGACCCCGTGATCATTATTTACAGTATTATCTTTACCACTAAATCCTATCTTCTTCTGTACTAGGGTATTATAACCCCTAAAAGAATCCCGACATTCGCTGATGTCTGACATTCGCCGAGCTCTCGGAATTCGGATTAATACATGTTCCTCTGGGCCAAGAGGCGCTAAAAATTAGCGGTCCCATTCTAACATTCGACCAGCTGTCGGTCGGACTTCGACTTATCCACAACTTCACATTTACAGGATTTGGTTTGGTTTTGATCGAATATGTTTTATTTCGCAAGCTGCATTCGTCGCTAAAGATACAAGAGGCTTGAATTCATATCGCAACCGAAAATTACACCCGGCTTTTTGGTTCGAACGTCAAGTTTGCCTCGATTTATTTTCCATCATTTGCTTACAGCTGCAGATTCCCCTTCTTGGGCCGTAGACCCTTCTTCCCAGCTACGCGAGAAGACTTCGTTCAGGGCGTCTTGGAAAGTACGGCAGTTCATGTCAATCAGACCTCGCTTGTCCTTGGCTTCGGGATTGCGAATCACCGAGACTAGACAGAGGTATCTGTAGAATAAAGTCAGTATAGACAATAAAGATACACTTTGAGAGACATACTTGTTCATCTCCATCAAATGGATCATAGTCTGATCATGCAACACCACATGGCTTTCTGCTTCTTGGATCTGGTCGCCCAATCGTTTACGAACTGGGTGATCCCAAGAGTACAACTCTGAGATGTCGACAATCACGTCAATATAATCAGAGCACATCTCATAGCAAGCCATGTCAACAGGTCGAGTGTCGGAGGCGATATAAATCTTACTCAGAACATCGAAGAGGTATGTCTTTTCAAACCCACAATTGTTGGCGAGGGTGTTGATGAGGTTCTCAAGTGTAGATAAGTTGGGGATCAGCTTCTGGATCACTTTGCTGAAGGCTTCGAAGACCGAGTAATCGTAGATAGAGGTCAGGTAGTAGTGCACGGGCGCATTCTCGTATCCAGCGTCACTGAGCTCATCGGAGATGCGCTGCACAATGTCCTGGAACGTGTCGGTGCGGTACTCGTCTGACAGTCCATCGACCTTGTGGATGAAGACTTCGATGTTGATCCCGGGATAGAACTGCTGAACGGTCAATATGGTTCGGTTGAGCCGTGCCACTGAGTCCAGGTAGTCATCTTGTGCGTCGATCACCCAAACCAGGGCGCCCAGACTGCCGAAGATATCTTCGAGGTCAAAAGCGGACTCAAAGTATTCGAGCTGACCTGGGAAATCCCAGACTTGGAAGTCCATGAAAGAGCTGCAAACTCCAGGTCAGCGGAAAGCACATCAAGCACGTCTATTCTTTCGAACTTACTGAATCGAGTCCTTCTGAATCCGGGTAGTCGACTCCAAGAAGAGTGTCTCATTTGGCGGCATCTTATGGAATACCACACTAGCAATAGATGACTTACCACTCCTAGTACACAGTTAGTATCTCAGTTGTGCGAAAGCTAGCAGAGAAGACTTGCCGTCGGAGTCCCATTAGAAGAAGACGAGGTTTAACATCAGGGCCTTTGGTGTTAGGCACAGAGGCCGATTTGGCCTGAGTTGGCGCAGCCACTTGTCTGCTTCCCTGTAAAATATCCAGAAGGCTTAGCTCAGCTTCAGTCTTGGGCAATGGAATTTCACGCCGTCGCTTCCAAAAATTGAGCTCACGTCCTATAAAAGGACCATGAGGCCGGCTCACGCGGGCTGCCGGTGAGTCGGACATTTAATCAAACAAAAGGGGTATACATTTTGGGAGAATGTGGAAGCAAGAGAAAGCTTATGGTTATAGGGACGGGAGATTCATGATTAGGGGCAGGGTGGAATAAATCAACGCATCACATGTTGGAAAGGAAAAGGGCATTGGGCAGTCAGCGAACCCAACCAGGCTAGTATCCTTGGAATAACAAGGAAAAGCCCGAGGCTGAGGACGGAGACAAAATGGGACTATCTTGCAACGGGCCCATTATAACAGGAACCGTGACAGACGCTCCAAATTTGGAAATCCGTGCCTTGCCTATTTCAGGGCGCGTTTGGCTGCATAGACAGGTCTCTAGTGATTCTTCCGGAAATAGCCCAAGGGTCCGGGACCAAGCAGCTGTCTCACAACGGCCCGTGCATGGATGCAGCGGGACGCGGTAACTAGCCGAGCTTCGCCGGATGACCTAGCCGGGGTTCGAGGTATTATAGGGAATATGGTGCGAGGGGATGTGCTTTGGGCGGAAAGAGTTTCTTACCTCCATTGAAGACAGATATCTGGATATGGTATGTTAGCATCTGGGATATGCATTCAGAATTGATTGGGTGTACTTACGGCGCAATTTATTTGTATTAGGCAGGGATAATCAGACCAACACAAGGTCGAATCTCCTCTGTGATCACAAAGAAGAATGGTAAAAGGGGCTAGTCGAGCTCAATTTAACGGCAAAGACCGACTGTTGACATCTGCATGTGCGAATCTCGCCCGGGAATGCCGCAAGGATCCCAGTTGTTGACTGGGATGGTGGTACGGAGTCGGATATCTGCAGTCAGACCTGTATCATCTTCCCAAGGTTGGGAAGTTCAATTCACGGCGGGAGGGTCGGCTGGAGCGATCGTTGAGTAACCGTTATGCCGTTTGAGGAGTGCGGGGGTTGGAGTAGCTCGAAGCTCCGAAGCAAGGCGTAGCGCGATCTGGCACCGATGTGCAACACTCAAATCAGCGCGGTAAGGGAGCTAGAAGAGTTTATTTTGAAAAAAAGTAAGGCTTGAATTGATTCAAAGGAGTACTCATGAGATTGTGTAAGGAAGAGATGGGGGAAGAGGAAGAGCAGAACCGACATTCAGCGGATCGTTATCTCTGAGCTTCTATCTTATCAGTTCTAATCTGTCACTTACCGCCTGTACTATTCTGCCACAAGCCACAACCAACTTCATAACTGTGAAAGGTACGGAGTACCAAGTACACGCCTCTAACCTCATTTATTACGCTTGGTCAAGGCTAGAAATGATGGGCTTCTTTGAAAATGATATTTTATGCTTAAATACATTGATAGAATTGAACAGAAATCACTTTTTTATCATCAACAATCATCAACCACGACATCATGCGGCAACCATCCGGTGGTTGTGTCCATGAGCATGTTTAGTCCCTTTTTTCTGACCCAGATACTCGCTGATGCGATGCTTGCCCTGCTCCGGCTCCTGCTCTTCTTCTTCCTCTTCCTCTTCCTGGACCTCAAATGCAGGCCATTCCTCCCAACCATCTTCCCACATCTTTGCTAACTTATCTGTCTTCTCGTCTCTGCTCATTTTCTTGTTCTTCATCACCTTCTCCCACTTCTTCATATCCTTATCATCTAGCAGACACTCATCCAGCAGAGCAGTGATCTTGACAGTGTCAATGCCTTCACCAATGAACACTATTTCCTGGCGACGATCACCCCAGGCACCTTGGAAATCATTTTGGATGGATTCCCGTACATCCTTGTCTTCTGGCCAAGCCTCATCGGGGAGTTCAGTAAACCAAGGCCCACCGCATCCAAGAGTCAGCATACCACCTGCTTGGCTCCATTCTCCAAATTGCCAGGGTCTGGTTGTGAGCCAGAAGAAGCCCTTGGAGCGGAGAACTGGACCAAAGGCCGGGTGGTTACGCTTATTGCTCATAATGACCGCTGGATCAGGCTGGTCAAAGTCTTCCACTGACCCGGAGTCGGAGTCTGTATCCATTGCATCTTCTTCCTCTTCTTCCTCCCCGTCTTCCTCGTCGCCTTCTTCTTCTTCGACTTCATTGTTCTGGAGAATGATGAACTTGTCATGAAGAAGAGCAAAGAGGCGTCGTGAATGGAAGGGTCGACGGGCAGTGTAGACGAAGTTGTTGATACCGTACCTATAATCGATCAGTAAATGATTCATGAATAAAGAACTGGCAAACTTACTCCAAGGTCTCTGGCTTTGGTGCCAACCGCTCGCCATTGCCTGTTGTCTGTATCGTCATTTCGTGCAGACTCTGCAGCCACCCAGGACCAGAAGCAGCACGGACGAAATCAAATTTGTTTGTGTTGATGATTTCCCGGACGTCTATTTGAGAGTAGTTTGACTCGAGGATCTTTGCGACTGGGTTCAGTAGCTTGAGCAAATGCATGAGCTTATCGCGGGTTGCTTGGTCAACTGTCTCGACCTTATTGAGAATCAACACATCGGCGAACTCAATCTGATCCACCATCAGATCAGATATAGTGCGCTCATCCTCGGGGACAATCTCTTCCCTCCCATAGCGGTCAGAGAGGAACTCTGCTGTGTCGAAGCTGGAAAGCAAGTTGAAGGCATCAATGACAGTGACGGTAGTGTCTAACCGAGCCATTGTGTGCAAGCCACCTAGGTTCACACTGTGTCAAGACATGTCAGCAAGCCCATCATAAGCGGGGATGTGGTGACGAAACAATACATTTCATTCAGGATCTTCTTTGCTTCCTCATCATCATTCGCAATCTGATCTTCGGCTTCCAGCATGGCCGAGCTGAACTCCGACGTGAAAGTCTCAGCCACTTGCATAGGCTCGCTAATGCCGGTCGACTCAATGATGACATAGTCAACCTCATTTCGCTTGGTCAGAGCTGCCAGTTCAGCCAGCAAGTCTCCCCGCAGAGTGCAGCAGATGCATCCGTTTTGAAGTCGAATAAGCTTCTCAGTGGTTTGGGAGACTTTATGGTTTTGGATGAGGGTAGCGTCGATGTTCAGCCTAATGGAACGAAGCAATTAGCTCAATCCCTATGTTCTTCGTTCGATGTGGAACTCACTGGCTCATGTCGTTGACGATGACAGCAATCCTTAACCCATGGTCAGGGGACTTGAGGATGTGTTTGAGGAGTGTTGTCTTGCCGCTTCCCTACACATGGGTGTCAGTGTCCATGGACATGAGTCAACGTTCATACAACTGCTGTGTTTCATACCAGGAATCCCGAAAGCAAGGTCACGGGCATCTGCCGTGTCTTGGGCTTTTCCTCCAGAGGAGCTGGGACATTGTAGGAGACCGAATCTGTTCCAGAATTGATGACCATAGTGGTGAGTAGACTTTTATGGCTATGTATACAAAGCAAGAAAGAAGAAAGAGAAGGAAAAATCAACTGAGTCTCTGGAAGTTCTACGGTATCACATTATATAGCATCTCCTTTCCCACGGCACCGTCTCCAAGTTCCTCACCCTCTCCCACTGTCGGTTGCATTTTCGATATCGTACAATTGTCAATACATGTCCTCCAAGGTTGAAGTATACCAGTGGAGCTATATCTCAACCAATGAAGCGTATGATTTCAAATGGCAATGATAATTGCTGTGTTTTAAGTGGCCAGCGTGAATCGCCCGCAAGGTACCTGGCTGGCGCCGCTGACTTTCACGGTCCCCATTTGACGAGATTCGTTTTGAAAAGACAGTATTAGGGCATCTGTGATTGGTCTTTTGCTGGTTTCTGGGCTGAGTGCTCGTTTTGAACTATCGATGGTGGATGTACGGAGTAGGGCTAAACGAGCTAACTAGGATAGAGCTAGAACGACATATTTGAGTCTCTAAATAGCCCACATTAAAGGATATTGACAGTATAAAGCTTGAATTATTTTCCCCAATATGATTCTTAATATCAATTAATGCTTCAGATATGACACACTCAGATCTCCAACCTTCTCCAAATCGAAATCGGCGATCGGCTCAATGCGCGGGCCGATAACAGCCAAATCGCCGATCTGAGAATGCGAAGTTGACGTCGAAGAACGTATAAAAGGAGAATCACACTGACAGAATAGAAAATAACATCCATCATCTCCATTCCTCCTCTCCAAAATGACCGACCTGGGAATCTACACCAAACCCCTGGCCTACCTAGGCCTCTTCACCCTAGGAAAAGCCGCCTTCTCCCTAACCCGCCAAGCAACAAACTTCCTCCTCCCCAGCACGCTCTGCAAACGCTACAACTCCACAAAAACAAACTGGGCCCTCGTCACCGGCGCCACAGACGGAATAGGGTTTGGCTTCAGTCAGGAGCTCTGCGCGCGCGGCTTCAACGTCATCCTACACGGCCGGAACGCGGAGAAACTCGACCGTCGCCGCCGCGAACTACAGGCGCTGTTCCCCGCAGTCTCTGTTGCTGTTCTCGTGCGCGATGCGCAGAATCTGACTCCCGATATTGACGATGTTGACGCGGAGGTGCGCGATATTATCCATAGCAGTAATGCGACTATCGGTTCCCGGGGTGACCCTGGCAAGTTGACTGTTCTTATTAATAATGTCGGTGGTGAGACGAGACCCTCTACGCTCCTTAAGGAGTATACCTTTGAGGATGTGCAGGCGACCGTTTCGCGGAATGCGACCTTCGCTATTCAGATTACCCGTGTGCTGGCGGAACAGCTGGAAGAGAATGCGCCAGGTCTTGTTATGAATGTTTCTTCTGTTGCGGCGTTTGGATTGCCGTATATCAGTGCCTATAGCTCCACGAAGGGATTTGTGGATTCGTTTACGAAGTCGCTGCGCGCGGAGTTCGCCGCTGAAGGGAAGGAGGTTGAGGTTATGGGGCTGCGGGTTGCCGAGGTCAAAACTGCTGGGTATGATGTGAAGAGTAGCTTGTTTGTTCCTGAGGCGAGAGTGCTGGCTGCTGCCGGCTTGGATCGGGTTGGGTGTGGGCAAGAGATTGTATGGGCTTATTTCTGGCATTGGTTGCAGGGCTTGTCGTTTGAGTATTTACCGCGCTGGATGTTGATGAAGATTGCTGCGATGAAGCTGAAGGCAATCAGAGCAGATCAGGAGGCCAAGGCGAAGAGCAGCTGATATTGTAGCTGATATGTTGCGCCTCTAGCTCTCTACTTCCTGTACTATCACAAACACATTGAACATTATAAGATACACGGGAAAATAATTATATCTGTAATCAAACACAACAGCAATTACAGTCTATAGAATGTCTAGAAGCCAGCCGGGGCCTTATGACGATCGTCTGGACCGTGGAGTCCTGCGCCAAGGTCCACCGTGCACTCGCTTTGCCAATCCTTTGGCGTGAACTTATCGACAATTGCCTTGAAGGCATCCAAAGTGCAGAATGTCTCATCGCCAGGCAAGTGGTTCTCAGGCTTAGCAGCACAGCCGGGGATAAGGACGGGCTGATCATTGTAGCGAATACGGACATAGTGCTTCTGGAGAGACTCGCGAGCGCTTTCGGGGAGGGATTCGAGAGGTGCGCGTGCAGTATCGGAGGGGGTGGGTAGCTTCGGTGCGGACTTACCGAGCAACTGGGAGAGGACACCAGGCTTCTTGTTTGCGACGGGTGGGTTGGAGAACTCCTCGAGCACGATGCCAGCGATGTAATCGGAGCTGGGCGCTTGAGAGAAGAGCTCAACTGCAACAGAGGAAGTGAATGGAGGCCATGACTGATTTTGGAATCCGCCAATACTGGACAGGATGGCTGCCAAGGTGGTGTCGTGGCAGCCGCTCATAGCAAACTTGATAGCCTTGCCGGTTTCCGCCTTGCCTGACCCGGACGCAGCGGTTTCACTGCGCCAACCACCCTCCACGGCGGTGCTGACCATGCGGTCAACCACATCACCCATGAGAGCACCAATGCCCAGCTTGCGGTACTCGCTGCTCTCGCCGTAGCCAGCAAACCACTCCTCAACCGCAATTCGGTCAACGACAGCACGACCCTTCTTATCGTAGAACTCGGATGGGAGCTTAGTGGCTGGGCCATGGGCATCGGTTGCGTTGATGGTGTCCATGATTCCGGAAAGACGAGGGTGGGCATCGACAGCAACCTTAGGCGATTCTTCGGGCATATACTTTGACCAGAGGCTGTTTAAGTACGCCATTTGTTCCGAGTCGTTCCCTGCATTCAAATCATTAGCCGTGATCCTTATCTTCATATCCCACTGATAAGCCCATACATCGTGTAGCGGCGCGGTCAGCGAAAAGCCGTGACAGCTGTCGGAATCGCCTACAATTCCCCTCGTTGGGGAAGAGTGTCTCCTCATTGACCTGACGGGCCACAATCACCGGCGGTGGGAAGTCAAGCGTGCGCGCGCTAGCCGGGTACATGCCCCAAAAGGCCTCCTGGAGCGACTCCAGCGCACGGGGGATCGGCGTGGCGCGCAGATACATATCCTCGGAATCGGCCTTGATCTGAGGCATAAACCCGAGCTGGTCCACGTATAAACGACGCAGCCGTTGTCCGAGCGCATATGTCGTTTCACGACCCTTGTCTGTGAGCTCGCCGTGCAAGCTTCAGATCGGACAATTTAGCTTTACTCCACATGCAGACCATAGCTCCAGGAACTTACCACATCGCTTCGACGGGTCCTCCCGGTCCTGCAGTAATCACCGACTGGTCATTACTGCCGAACGACTCCATTTTCCGGCGCCATTGGAACCCATTCCATTCCGAGAGGTCTTTGCTGCTCGATGCCATCTGCACCATGCGTCTTGCGACACCGCAATACGGCCAGTCTTGTCGGGGTAACTGTCAGCATGTACTCCGCCGATATCGGTATTAGGAAATTAGCATACATGGGCTTAGGCCTGTCTTTGGGATGTGTTAGCGGAGACCGTCGGAGAACGGATTTGGGGTAGGCAATTGCGGCATACGTTTGAGAATCGAGACGAGACAGGTGTCCGTTCACCTAGGATCGGTTAGAGATGCTCTCAGGGGCAACATTGTAAATGTATATCTCACCATGACGGAGGAACTGTAGTAGTTAGCTATGTTTGTCAATGTGGGGACCAAAACACGTACCACTTGCACCAGCTGCAGCTTCAGGGCTGGTGGGTACAGGCGAGCGAGCTCATCCTGAGTATAGGGCTCACGAGGAATGAGGGTGGTCATCTCGAATCAATTGGAAGAGAGATATCCAGAGAGATCTAAGAATCTATAAAATAAATTTAAGTCAGGAAAGCAACGGCCCCCAATGAAGGCGGTGAGGGACTAGCTGTTGGAGTAGGCTATACCGATAAGCCATCCATGTTGACGTTCATTGAATTATACTCTGTGCATTTATTATATAGAAAATAGAAGCATAAGTGCGGAGATTTGTTCTCTTTATATTCATAAGCCTCTAAACATGGGGAAGGCTAGGAAAAGCTGGCAAGCTCCTAAGGATATAAGACCCGACATATGGTCTCCGCATCTCGGCAAGTTCGCCGAAGCAAACTCGCCTCGGACTAGTAATCTCCGAGCTGAAGAAAACTCTTCCAAGCTATGCATATTTGACATGGTATAAAAGTACAATTAGGAACAACATTCCTCGTAGTCACTCGTCTCCCACCCCTCCTCGCTTTCACTGGCACTCCAGACAGATCGAGTGGGCACCGCCGGGACATCGCTAGTCTCAGTTAATGCAGCTGCAGCTGCCGCAGCCGTAGCAGTAGCCATTTGCTTAGCCAACTTCTTATTATTCTTCGCCTTGCGGGCATTCTCCTCTTCCTGGCGCATCTGTTTCACGCGCTCGGATTCCTCGTTCGCCGCTCGCTCCAAGAGCTCGACCAGCTTCTCCAACGCTGGCGCATATGCCTGCGCAAGGGCGAAGTCCCCGACCTTGATACGCATGAAGTCCATCGCTCCCGCGACGGGGCCGGTATAGACGCCGAGCCTTTGGCTTGATGTCGCCATGTTGATGTCGTCGGACATTGAGGCGTCGTTGCCCGCTGGTTCATCCTGAGGGTCGTCGAATGGGATATCCGCATCTGCGGGCTCCTTTGCAGCTGCATCCCGGTTGTTTGGGAAATTGCCTGAATTTTGCTTCTCTACAAAGGCTATCTTCTGGTAGCGTTGGCTGAAATGAGTGAGCAGGACAGCGCGTGCTTGCATGCGGCGGCCAATTTCGATTGCCTCGGAGGAGGTCGAGTGCCGCTTGGCCCTAGCCGATCCGACCATGTCGGGTTGGAAGGTGGCCTCGTGGATGAGCACGGTTGAACCCTGTCCAATGGCGGCAAATTTATCCGATGGCCTGCAGTCACCGGAGTAGGAAACCTTGAATCCATTTGAGAAGACAAGGGAGACGGCGAGCGCACCCTTGCAGTGTTTGACACGG